AGGGTACCTGGTTCTTTAGGTACAATAAGCACAATAATAATCTTAAGTAGGACCATAATACAGACATCTTTATATCAAGTAAGCACTTAAACGCACCCTAATCTCATTAAGAAAATACACAACCCTTCGTACTATGAACTAAAAGATAGATCATTCGGATACAGGTGTCAAATGAATACAAGATGTCATTAGTTAAGCACTTAACGTAACTCGCAAGCTGCTAATCTCATGGCCCTTTGCCGCACTACCTACCAAGTGAATGGACGGAATAACCTTCTTCTTCCCTCATATGAGGCATAAAATACATCAAAGCCATAGGGGTTCAGAGGTTTGCGGTACAAGGGGTCACCCGGGGATTCTGGCGCTTCATCCTTATCCTCGACATATTTTCTCTTATTAGTAACCTGCAAAACCCATTTATTTTAAAATATCTTCGTTGAAACAAGAGCCACAAGCTACATTATACATACACAAACACACTTATAGACATACATGCTTCACTAAGAATAGAACAAATATACACATATAGACATACAACCATGTATGCAAGCTCACAACCAATAGCATAGGCGACTATTTTATCAATAAATGTATATTTCCATTTTAAGAAACAAAATGGATGTTCCCCTACCAACTGAGCTGATTGGAAAAAATCTCCATAATCCAATGAAAACTAAGAATATAACCTAAAATTGTTGCAACTAGAGCCCGTATCTAGTGCATTACATTATGGATAGGCTGAAATGCAACAGGAAACAGATATAAAATACCACATAATAATCTTCTGTTAATCAAAACTAGATTCCACAAGCACTCGGATAGCTACAAATCTCGCCCAACAACATCAGATGCATTCTGTTGCAAAACAAAACTGACTTAAACAACAACCAATAGATAATCCTTCATCTCAGCAAGGTTACTGAAATAACTGAACTGAAACCAAAACGCCAAATTGGCATTCAGACAAATGTTATTAAACACCACGAGACCTATGAAAACCCCTTTTTTTAAGAGGACACCAATACCACAACAGGCGCACAAAAAAAAAAAAAAAATGGCACGCTATTGGACAGTAATTTAAAAAATAACAGGAGGGAGAAAATAAATGAAAATACCCTGCTTGTGGTCAGCGCCCTTATCGACAATATGGTAGTGCTCGCACTTGTTCCAGTAGATCTTCTCACTGGATTTGAAATAGCCAGGCGGAGCTTCATCGAAGGACGCCATTGAAGAATTAGGTAACTCCAAATGCAGCAAAATCCTAATAAGGGGATTTGGGCATTGAAGAAAAGCAAAAGAGAAGAAGATGCTCGATTTCTGAAAGGTAACTGGTGGAGCACGATTAATAATAGTAATGTGCCTTTGGAGAGGTGTGCACAGTTTCACACTCCCACATAATTAACAAGTTTGCCCCTTCGTCTGGTCAAAGCTGGATTTGGGCCCACCCTCTGCATTCTCAGTTCTCAACTCTCAGTCTCTAGGCTACCTAATCCATCTAACTATATACTAATGTCTACTAGTGCACCCAATACCTAAGTACTCATGGACTTTCCAAGCCAGGTATGCATATATACTACATAGAATAATACAAATATCAAGCCACATGCAACTTTTTGATGGAAAACCCCATAGCTTTTATAAACTTCAATCCTAGGTGAGAGTATTTATTTATTTATTTATTTATTCAGTTTGTTCGTAAATACACTCCTATGACATGTGAATCTGCAAGGGGAATATAATAGGGGCAAGCAGATCTGCAAATTAGTTATGTGGTCCAAAATCGTGGCTCGATCCCGCTCCTTTAGTCATAGGAAACTTCCCTCTTAAACCTGATATTATGTGTATGTTTTAGTATATTTTTGGTTTATAAAATTTCACTTCTTTTTTGCATAAAACTAAATACTCATCTGAATTGTAATACTTTGGTAAAACTACGGACTACTGTCACTGAGCCTAAGTGCACAAAATACCAACACAAAATTCTCACAACAAAAAAAAAACATAATATAGGCGCAATAACACTTAGCAGCTACCACTAAGCACGATCATTTTCCCCAAAACAAACCCAATACCCCAAAAAATAGCCATCAATATTGAAGAAGGCACAGAGAAAAAACAAAAATATATATTTTTTTGGGGAGAAAAAAAAAAAAACCAACCTGCATATCATGAACAAGAAGACTCCAGACTTCTCGACATAGAACCTGCACTTGGGCCACCTAATCCACCTCATATTCTTGGCTAAGTTCACCAGCATTATATCCTCACTACCCCTCTCGTCGGCCTTCAGCCTCCTAAATTCATCACAACTAAGCCCATAATGCCAAGGCACTTTACACTACAGGCAGAAAAGCCTGCTACAATTTGAGCACTCGGACTCAGCCATAACCCCATTCCCCCACAAGAGTCGTCCACCAAAAGAGCTGAGCAATCCTTAAACGGCCAGTAGAGTTTCTCGGAAGCCAAGATCACGGCCTCACACAGGGCTTCTCCCCACCGAACGAAAACTCTGTCGGGCAGTATCGACGGGCAGTGCTGAGGCTTGAGGAAGCCTCGACACCCAGAAACAGGGCAGCCTATAGACACGGCGTTATCTTGAATCTTTTGAGGCCACGTAATTTCTCATGCAATCGGAGCAGTATTTGTGATTGACCCCAAAATGCTGAACTTATCACAATTTGGCTTCTCGTCCGCGCATAGCTCGCACAGAAATTTGTGGGGCGCGTCATTGTTTCCCGATTATGATCTCGAGCACTCGCCTATTAAAACACTTTTACGGGATTTGGGAAAAAAGAAGAGGATCTTGAGATCATCTTCGTCGGCGTCGGTGTGGTGAAATTTTGGGTTTGGGGCGGTAGTCCTCAACTGATAGTGCAGACATAATAAAACAAAAAGTGTAATGCAAAAAGCCAACAATATTGAAATTATGGTGTCACTTATAACTTATATAATGCACATAGTAAAGCAAAAGGTGGTGTAGAGATGCAGAAGCCACAATCTGCATGTATCACCATAACATAAAACATTAAAATGGCACTTTCAAGTGTGGACACAAAATTCATCATATTCAGTATCAGGATCCTGAGAACAATAAGCACAAAAATATAAAGTAGGACCATTGTAGGATATTTACAGACATCAAGTTGGCAGTTTAAAAAACACAACCATAAACTAAGAGATCACTATAGCATGAAGACAATTTCATGGCCCTTTGCACCACCACCTAACAAGTGAATGGATGGGGTGACCCTCTTTTCAAAATAAGCTTTGTTTCCCTCAATCTGCAGCATAAAACACAAAACAAATCATATGTTTCGTGCATGAAAAAAATAAAATCTGGACACAAAACTACATATATGATGCCGAAGATAAAATGGGCTGATTCGTTGAATCATAAACCGTCTTAACAGCAGTCTTATAAAAATAAGACTCTGTCAGCCAACGCTTGTTCCAGGCCCTGTATATTTAAAAATAACATTATTTAAAACATATCTCGACTAGTTCCAACTGAAAAATTATAAGAAAATGATATATACTCCTACGTTAAGATTAGTAGGGTGGGTAATTACTGAATAAGACAACAAAATGGTATATACTCTTACATTAAGATTAGTTGGGTAATGAATATCAGTGACCATATCAATATGAGTCCAATCACGCACTTGGGCAGCCAGTCTAAGTCTACAAGATTTTTCTCGTCTCGGTCAATATACATTCGAACTCTTTATCACTCTCGTACCCGAACAGAATGCACAATGTTCCCCTTCTGTAATGCCCCACTTTTATTTGCCAAAATTCAGGATAAATTTTCGAATTTATTTCAAAACAATACTTGAGGCGCTACTCATTTTCAAAACCAATATCAAAATTCAAACAATCATCAATACTCAATCCTCAGTACTCATTTATCAATAATCAATAATCCAACAATAGTTCAGTTCAATGGTCGATAACCAATCCAATTATCTAATACTCGTACAAACCTAGGGAATACATTCCCTATCAATAATCCAGTAATCAATAAGACAATAATAACAATAATTCAATTGCAAGCGGAAGCAATAACAATTTTTGTGACCACCACTCGCTTCCCTCCACCGGGCCCGCCATACTAACCTGCATCCATGAAGAGTAGGTGGGGATGAGCACAAGAGGAAACAGTAGTGCTCACCACTATGCAGTAAATGTTAATATCGATATTCAACAGTAATCAATAATCAATAAGGTATGGTCTCAGCATGAATACGAAGCAACAATCTATCCCATCTCCCATCAATAATCAATAATCAAACTCATGTGCACACCTATATCAATAGACTACTGCCGACTATATATCGAAAGCCACGGCCCTCGGCCTTTTGGTCTTACAACGAGTGTCCAGCAAGTAAGAGTTTCTCTCGTCGGCCTAGCACTGCCTTGACTCACAACGGGGAACCGACCGAGCACCGCCCTGGTCTCACAGGAGCAGAGGGGAGATTACCCTAACGGGGTCCGTTCTATAACTACGGGGATAACCGTTAGACGGCCGACACAGATCACATCGAAGGCTACATGTTCCACATGCATACTTTGATCATACCACAAGGAAACAATAATAACGGTAATATCATTTACAGCATAACCAATTTTCAAATAAAACCCACCTCAGTTCGGAAATGATAATTATGCATATGGTCATCGAAGGTTCGAGAGCTCGAATCCTCGGAAACCTAAGATTAAGCAAAATAATTCCCATAAATAATTTATCTAATTACTCGGGAAAATTAGTGAATTTCTCATTAAAGAATTCACGTATGATTTAAAAGGGGGTTTCGAGATTTACCGCACTTCTAGAATCTACAAGCAAGGAGGCAAGGAGAATTTTTGCTTGCAACCTCGGTCACTCCTCGGCTACTCGTTCTCGAAACAAAGGCTCGGTAATCGGATAAATGCTCCTTACGATACATACTTTGATTTAGTTCACATTAATTTTTCCTTGGTCCATTCAATCTCTTGTAGTCCCCAAATTTAATCTTCTGGCCCAAACCTCAAAAAAATTTAGGCCAAAGGCCATTTATTTAAACCCTATAAGCCCAATTCTTCTCATTTTCTTTTTCTTCTTCATTTTTCTTTTTATTTTCCTTTTCTTTTTCCCTCTTTTCTCTTTCCTCTATCCAGTCATTTCCTTTCTTCTCCTCCTTTTTTTGTCGATTGCAGCGCCCTCAAATTCTCTCCCAAACAGCAAAAATTCGCCACCCCTTTCTCTCTATCTCATCTCCTTCCTTCGAAATTTATGCTTAACTCCCGAATTTCAGAAATCACTCTTCAATTTTCAGATCCGTGGAGGTCACGGGCGGCGACTACAGGGCGTGGCTGTTCGCTGTTACTTTGACGCCGGCGAGGTGCAGCGGCGGCGGTTCACGGTTGTTGTCGCGCGTACGGATTGTGACCTGACGAGGCCTCGTTGTGCTATATAGCGGGGCTGCTCTCTCAAATTTCTTCCACAGGTATGGCGATGGCGTGATTCGCACGCGGTGTTGCGATGACAGGTGGTGAACGGACTCCGACGAGGCTTACCGTGGTGGTTGAAGGTCTGTTGATGGTGGTTCATGGCCGTCCATTATGTTGCTTGAACTGGGCACTGGTCCCACGCTGGTCTCTGACAGCATTCTCTGGTTGACTACTTGCCCCTGACGAACAGGGCTCGGACGGGTCCAAGTTAACGGCGGTGCTCGAGGATGACGGTGAACGAGGCCGCTGGTCAGGACGGTTCAAGGGTGCTGCGTGGTCGAAGGTTGGACGAGGATCGGAGGCGGTGATGGTTTGGAGCTAAGGGTGTGCTCTAATTTTGCTGGAGATTAATTCGTGTGGTTGATATTTGATTCCAATGTTGAAAAGGCAGATAGATGGATAAAGGTTGTTGATCGGTTTTCAAAGCTTCTGAAATTCTGATGTTGGGACCGACCAAAGAGGAAGAAGAATCTGATTTTCCACTCGTTTCCTTTCAGAAATCTAGCATCTTCTTCTATTTTGCTTTTCTTCAATGCCCAAATCCCCTTATTAGGTTTTTGTTGCATTTGGAGTTACCTAATTCTTCAATGGCGTCCTTCGATGAAGCTCCGCCTGGCTATTTCAAATCCGGTGAGAAGATCTATTGGAACAAGTGCGAGCACTGCCATATTGTCGATAAGGGCGCTGGCCACAAGCAGAGCATTTTCATTTATTTTCTTCCTCCTGTTATTTTCTAAATTACTGTTCAATAGCGTGCTAGTTTATTTTTTTGCTCCTTTTGATGCGTGTGCACCTGTTGTGGTGTTGGTGTCTGCTTAAAAAAAAAAAAAAAGTTTTCATAGATCTTGTGGTGTTTAATATATGTTATTTGGCCTTTTGGTTTCAGTTCAGTTACTTCAGTAGTCTTGCTGAGATAGAGGATTCGTTGGTTTTTGTTTAAGTCGGTTTCGTTTTACAATACAATGCATCTGATGTTGTTGGGCGAGAATTGTAGCGATCCAAGTGCTTGTGGAATCTAGTTTTGTTTAACAGAAGATTATTGTGTGGTATTTTAATCTCTTTCTTGATACGTGTTCCAGTCGTAGAGATTTGGTTTATATTCTTGGTTCATTGGATTATGGAGTTTTTTCATTCCGCTCAGTTGGTAGGGGCACATAGGTTTGGCTTCTTAAACTGGAAATATACATTTCTTGTTAATTTACCCTGTTCCATTATGGTTCTTTTGGCTGCTGGTGCTGCCTCGTTCTTAGTTCTTACGCATAGTATCCTCACGTCTTTGAGATTTCCAGGTCCCCAACTTGAATGGCCTTTTCGGAAACAAGAACAACAAGAACAAGGCCGTGAAATATGAATGTCCTACACTTCATGACTACTTGCCTAATCATAAGAAGGTGCACAAATAGACCCATGTATTTGAGAATTGGTTTGTAGAACTCTAATCTGGATCTATAAGTACACACTGTGTGAGAATTTGAAAATATCATTCCATTTTAATTTTATGGTACCTCTTCGTTAGGGCATGTGTTTGAGACTAGGCTTAGGACTCGCTTGTTTTACAAAATAATTCGTCCAAACGAGTTATTTTGGTTAACAAGAGTTAATTTTGAAAATGTGGTATTTTTAGTTGTTAGTTGGATTTTAAGAATGTATTAAAATATTATTTAAAATAAAATGATTAAAATTGATTTGATGTAAAAGTATAAGATAAATGATTGGAGATGGTTGAAAATGATAGGTAGTTAAAATTATCTGAGTTGTTGATGAATAGTGAATGTTGATTTGATGTGTAAGAATGATTGGTTTGTATTATTTAATTATATATGGATAATATAAAAGATAGTGATGTTGAGTTAAATTTGAGTTAAATTTTGGGTATGAATTAAATGAGAGTAAAATAATTGACAAACAAGCATGCCCTTACAGGTTCATTTTTTCTTACTCACACTCTCTGATTCTTTATTCAATAGTGTATCATAGTTGGTCTAATATATATATGGTTCTAAAAGATTAGATCTTTTTTTAACAATGCAGAATTATATTTTATTTATGGGCTTTGTTTTTTAAGTTGGTGCCTGAGACATTTTCTTGTTTTCTAGAGTTCTAATGGCATAATTTTTTTTTTTTTTGCAGCTAATAATTGTAATAATAACAATATCTTGCATTTCATTTTGCCTATTAGAAATTCCATTCCTATTAAATATATCTTACTTTTTGTGTGAAAAAACAAGATCTTGCATTT